GTATGTTTATTATAGTATGCCTACTGTCAGATACAATTACGATTGCAAGTTGTTCCAATTACAGTATTTTATTTTTTATTTTTTATTTCAGTCTTGCCTTCATTCTCTGGAAATGTACCTGCAGCACTGAGATAAATCTATCCCTCATCAAATATAACCAGGCTGGGGAATTGGTATTCCCTTCTCTTGCTTCTTCTCCATATATCTTATGCAATAATTTAAGTGCTTCCTCTGTTCTACCTTCGTTTTCGACTTACTTTCCCCTTTTCATCCACTTTTCTGAGTTACACTCTCTCCATTCCCTTGTTGTAAATTTTATTTCATTTTTTTTTTATCAAAAATCATTTCCTATTTCACCATGTCTTGTTCTTTTTTACAGGAATACAGTTAGTGGTGACCCCAGATGGTGCTGTACTTTTCTTTTAGATCCTTCTGATCCATTATTTGTTAAGCTGGGCAAGGCATTTATTAAGAACCAGTTTAAAGGTGAACTTCATGTTTCTAACTTTACAAAATATCATTTGTTAGACATGCATAATGATAGCATGACATAACTTTCGTGTTTCTTTAATGTTTAGAAACTTCTTGTATGGTTGTATATTTATGTGGGGGAAAAAAAAACCTATGAGGTCTCAGAATATTACTTTTGAGAGACATACACGCAAAGATCCTGTGTTTTTAACAAATTACAAAGTTGTACATATGCTGCTTTGAGAATCATTAGTATTCGAAAATGATTGAACTCATAGAATTTATAATAAATTAGAAACTAGAAATGTCTCGTAAGGTAATATATTTTTGCAGATATATGGGGAAAAAAGTTTATAAGTCTTAGAAAGGTACTTTAAGAGGGACGTACACATAAGGTCCTTGTGCTTATGCAACAGTCTACAAAGCCATATTTTTGTGAGCAAGAAGTGATTGGTACACCTTGAAAAAGACGTAGAAGTGGCAAAACTGCTAGGGGATCAGCCCCTTTTAATGATATGACATGCCCATTATGAACTTTGGCAGAAATGCAATTTGGTGTTCATTCAGCCCACACAAGCAGTTGTTGGTCTCTTATGTCCATGTATCTATGGGCCAAAGGATTATGGGAATTAATCGAAGGATCATGTTGAAGCTGAGTTAGCTCAGATGATTGACTGGATTACATTGGTTTTTATTTCAATATTCAGTTCTAGCTGTACAATTCATGTATGCTACCAAAAACCTGATTGATTAATATGCAATGAAAATATTGTCTGAGAAGTTCCAAAACGGTTGATTACTTATGGGAAGTTCACCCTGAACTTGATCGGACAAATTTGTTAAATGTGTACTTAATAGTGAACATTCTTTCTGTGCTGATGGATGGGTACTTAATATAATAGTACAGTTGAAGAACTGTCTCGATGTGTTTGTTTTATCAGTCATTGCTTTCGAACTTCAATTAAATGATGAACTTATTAGTTTTATCCTTTCTCCTTTTACAGAATATGGAGATGTGACTAACATGTACAACTGGTAAATGGGCATTTAAATTTTGTAAGTCCAGTTTTTCTATGAATCACTTAGTAGTAGTCCACCTGGTCCTTAACGTTGATTATGCAGACGCTATATGCTTGAGTTTTAGGTAGTTGCAATTTCACATTACTCTCTTCTAAGTGCTATCATGAATTGTTGACGTTCCAACATGTCTTTGCTACTTAAGTTCGTGCCTGTATGTTTTATTAATGTGGAGTCCACAGGCTTTTCATGGTCAAAAATCCATGCAAGTATGCAACCCACGTGGTGGGCTTTAAATTGTTTGTGTTAAGTATTTTCTTAAATTCTTTATTTAAACATGTTGGCTGCAAGTTTATAATGGTTATAGTATACTAACAATCACACACACACATAAATGCAATTAACACATTTTATAATTATTAGATGATCAGAGGAAATATTGTTTGCTAACTATTTCATTCTTGAATGTTTTACTGCTGGTTGGTACTATGAAATTGTATCTTTGCTCTTTTAATGACTTGACATGGACAGTGACACTTTCAATGAAAACTCTCCACCCACTGACGACCCAACTTATATATCATCACTTAGGGCTGCTGTTTATGAAGCTATGGTCAAAGGTGATAAGTATGCTGTGTGGCTTATGCAGGTAATATAATTCCCCCCTTTTCCTTGTTCCAGTCCCTCCTTGTCTGGATGATATTGTATTGATTGCTGAAATTAGAGCAGATTTATAATGACGGACAAGGATGTAAAGGCTTGAGTATTAAGCAACACTTTTCACATAATGCAAGAATAAGTTTGTTCTTTGTTTGACTCCTCTTGGTAATGTTCAATCATCCATGAAATGTATCAACTAAAACATATATCCCACTTTGTGTATCTGGAATCAATTGAGAAACGTAATTATAATTAAATCCATTCCCCCCCACCCTCTTTTTTTTTTTTCCTATCTACTGTACATGGTATGTTAAGCCTTCACATCCAATCCAGGAAAGACTGATGTCATGTGTTTTCTTTTGGGAAAGAAATTAGGAAATGGAGTTATTGATAGTTTACCAATTCTATGGGCACTTGTTATCCGAGTATTTCAACATGTAGTCTTAAATCGATTGTATGTAAATTTCAACATCATCAAAGGCTCATTTGTTAATTATATAATCCAATGTTTATTTCTTTGTAGGGATGGCTCTTCTATTCAGATTGGAATTTTTGGAAGCCTCCTCAAATGGAAGTATGTTCTTGGCTCTTCTTTCCAGTTTTAACCTCAAAACCCTGATAAAATTTGGCTGTTGATAGCCTGATACCATTTTTGTCAGTACTTAACATACTAGGAAAGGAAGCAACCCTTTTATTTTTTATTTTTTGCACCAGTCATTTTAGTTTTTTTCTCAATATAAATGAGTGGTTAGGCAGAACTAACCTACTCAGGCATGGGATCAGCCTTGGAAATTAGACCAGCCTCCTCCCCCCTCTCAAAAGAAAAGGTTATGTTTTTGCTATTTTCTCCTTTATAAAGGTTAACTTTCATTCATTTATTATTGGATGATCAGTTATGAACTTTATGACTCTAACTTGCACTATCGGTCCTTAGCATATTGAATTCTTTGTTGTATCAAACCAAAAGATTTCATTCTTGATGTCTCCTCTGTGTGAAATTTGACACAAGCTTCTTTTCAATGTAGGCTCTCCTCCATTCTGTTCCCAAAGGGAAAATGGTAGTTCTTGATCTATTTGCTGAAGTTAAACCTGTATGGGAAACATCGTCTCAATTCTATGGCACTCCTTATGTCTGGTAAATAAACTAATTTCAGTGGGCAAGTCATTATTATCAATAAATCGTAGTAATACTTGTACATTTGTTACCAGGTGCATGCTTCATAACTTTGGTGAAAATATTGAGATGTATGGTGTACTGGACTCTATATCTTCAGGGCCAGTTGATGCTCGAACTAGTGAAAATTCAACAATGGTACAATGTGATATGTTCACATACCTTCAGCTCTATGGATCAAGAACTGAAGTTTTTATGTGTTCTGATATTTTTTATTCTCATTAATGTTTCATTTAGGTAGGTGTTGGCATGTGCATGGAAGGTATTGAGCACAGTTGTTTATGAGCTCATGTCTGAGATGGCCTATCGAAATGAAAAAATTCAACTTGTAGGTGAATAGATGTGATTATATGATTGATATTTACTTGCAGATATTGGGTGCATATGAATACCTGATTACAAAATTGAATATAAATTGTATAGAAAACCCATATTTGAAGATAATTGAAATCTTAAAGTTCAATCAGTGTTATTTTTTTCCCCCCTGAAGAACTTTTACTTTTAATCTCATTATGATACCCATGTTTGACATGTGAGACATCATACAGTTAACCCTGGTGTAGAAACTTCTTACCACAGAACTGGATCAAAACTTATTCTCGTAGGCGCTATGGTAAAGCTATTCATCAGCTAGAGACAGCCTGGGAAATTCTTTATCACACCATTTACAATTGTACAGATGGAATTGCAGTAAGTTCTGTGACTTCTGTCTAGCTGATAGTACATGTGTCTTATTTCCTATTGATGTATGTTACTTCTTCACGCATCCTCATACATCAATGGCAGTTATCAATTCCTTTAAGGGTGGGTCGTTCTCTCTTGCTGTATTATTATGTTTTGGTCGTGAAAAATTGTTACTTTGACAAAGGGGAGTGGGTACCAATAAAATTTTGAGACACTGTACCTGTAGGTCGTAGCTAGACATTTAAAATGAAAGATTTGGCAGTTTGGGCAAAAAAAGTAATATGAAAGTCTGAAGGTATTATAAAACTAAGGCAAAACTACTGCTAAAAGTGCTAATACAATTTGTCTTGCATTATTCTTTGTCGATTGAGCTGAAAGAGTCATTATTGATATTAGTTTAGTATTGGATTGGAATTGGAATAACCTTTTTGTATTTGTAGAGAGTATAGACTGCAAATGTCTTATAATTCTTAGGCCCTTACCCTGCTTAGGCAGGAGTCTCATTTGAGGAACTCGGGTATTCATCATCATTTAATATTTTATCTTGTATATTTAAAAATGTTTAGATAAAAAAAAAATGAAAAACCTTTAATCTAATATGATGCTTGTATATTTCTTAGCAGTGTATGAGATGAATTCAAACTCATTTTTACTTTATTCCGTGTTTGTTAATTTAATTTTTTTGTCTTTGTTGCAGGACCACAACAAGGATTATATTGTTGAGTTTCCCGACTGAGATCCTGTAAACAACACGGCACTGGATGGAATAGGAAATTATCAGAATCACAATAGTTTCAATTCACACAGAAGCATGAGGCATATTTTCCTTACGTCGGGGCCTTCTCTGCCATCACCGCATTTGTGGTATCCAACTGAGGAAGTTATCAAGGCTTTACGTCTGTTTCTTGATGCTGGGAAGGATCTTGTTGGAAGCTCTACTTATAGGTATATGATTAAATTTTTTTTCTTTTTTTTTCTTTTTTTTTCCGTAGAAACTTATTCAACATAAGATACTTTTTCCCTATCAAAGCAAGGTGTATATAATGTTACTTGCATATTGCATTACATTTTAGCCATTTCCAAAATCATAGTAATATTCTCTTCAGTGATATCTTTGAATCTAAATGTGGCTAAATTACATGTGGAATACTGGAGTTGGTCCTATAGCTCTACTACATGCATATAGATAATTTTTACTCATACTAACCTTTAGCATGGAGTATACAATAATTAATCAACTCATCAAACTTGAGTTGTGCTTATGTCTATACAAGTTGAATAGTTGTAAGCTTAGATTAACTTTGTCAAGCTTAGAAACTGTTTTTAATTGATTAACTAGTTGGCTCAAGTTATAAGTAACATGCAAGTACGAGTAGTGCTTAAGGGTACAACAAAAGTTTTATCGATGAATAATATATTTCCTCCATCCAAATTTATTTGGCCACTTTTCATTTTTGGTTGTCCTAACACTTTACTACTTAACAAAAATGATAATAAATATATCCTTTTTCAATCACAACAATGTGATCATTGATCGATCCTTTTTCGTCATTCATTCCAACACTTTATAATTTACTCAACTCTTTCAATCAACAATAAAATGGCCTCAAGGCTGCCACCAAAGGGGGGAAAAAGACAGAAAGAAAGAGCAAAAAAGGGTTGTTGCAGTGGGTATCATTATGAGAGGATTATTAGTGGTAAGATGGCAATATGCAATCACCTTAAGTATAAACTTTAGGTAACTGAGTCTATATAGTATAGGGTGATGTCATATGATGGTTTTCATGATAGAATCCATGATTGTGGTTGGTGTATCCGCCAGACGCCTTCCCAAAGCTGATTTTAGATACATTTGGTGAGGGGCTGATACTATTCAGCTCCGGAGGCAGCTGAAATGCTGATTGCTGTCCATTTGTGGTAGAGCTGTTTTCAAAAACTTCACCCAATTTTCCCATACTTGACTTTGAATAAGGAAGATTAAAGTTAAATTGGCTGGGGATTGATGATGGATGCATATTAGTCACGTCCTCATATATTGCTGCTTTGGCGTGACCTGTAGAGGAAAGATGGTTGAACTTGGTTGCTTCAAATAATCCAGAACAAGATTTCACCTCACGAGTCTCTAAATTGTCATCTTCATACGAACGCCCAACAAGATAGCTTGGACTTGGGATAGCCTGAACCTGATTCAAGTCAAAGTTGTTGCCAGCCTGAAATTGTTCCAAAATTGTCTCTTTCACAGCTGGAAGCATTGTATTCAGATGGCAGCTTAGCGTGCCACCATCTTTCAGCAGCACTCTTGGTCTTGCAAATTCAGTATTTTCACTAGTGTGGGTTATGACATCCAATTCACCATAGTGATTTACGGAGATTTGGTTTTTAAGTTTATCTCCGCTAGCAATGGCAGAAATACTTTTATTGTTTTTCATATTACCTTGAGCTTGATCCCTTAAGACACAATCGCTTGTTCCCAGGCTCATACATGGGATGATAGATTTAATATCTACAAAACTTTTGGCCGATTTCTCTCCACTTGTGCTAACATCACTTGTTTTCCTTATGTCATTGGCTGTTTCAATGCCAATCACACGGTGAGATGCAGCAAGACTTGTGCTGGGTATGGTACCACATAACAAAGAGTTAGCAGGTTCTTTTTGAACAAGAGATGAGCCAGCAGGGGCTTGAGAATTGTGGGCAGAATAACTGTCCCAACCATTCATTTGAGACCTACTACTGGAGGAGGATTGCATCCATAGTCCTTGCAATTTATTTTTTGCAACTCTATGAGCAGTAGGTCCCAAATTTCTAGCAAATGACATAAAGCTTTCTTTGTATCCAGACTCCTCCAGATTTTCCTGCAAACAGAAGATATAAACTCACTCACCCAAAAGGGAGAAGAAATAAGGGTGTCTCTAGAGTGAATGCACAAACAAATGACCTTGGCTTCATATTGAAATATAAAGAGCAACATAAATTGACAAACGAGCAACACTGATAGGCATCTATGCCCATCTAGCTAATACTAATAAATCTAAGATAACCACTTAATGCAGTCAGCTGACGAATCTTTTCATAACCTCTGCTTTCTCAAAACTAGCTAATATCGAAAATAGGTAGATGAGGAGACATATAGCAATAAAACCTTACAGGTATGAGTGGTTTTGTGCCACAAAATAGGGGTGAAACAGCTGAACTTGTTTCATCAAACAAGCAAATCCAAGGTTTGTATGTAGAACGCCGATCAATTCCAGAAAAGGAAGTTTTTCTTTCTTTTCCAAAACCTGTCTTCAAAGAAGAGATGTTCATCTAAGGTGCTTACAAATGAAAGATTTCTGCCAATTTTTGTTAGAGTCCATGCTTTTATGCTCAATAAGCTATAAAATTTCTTTTTCCTTTTTTTTTTCCCCCCTTTTCCTGCTCTTCGTGTTGATGGGTGTAGGTTCCTATAGGCACACAATGTCCTGAACACTGAACTAAAAGCTATAAAAGAAAGAAAGGCTTATGACATCACTTCTTTCTGTTTGAAGTACAAATTCCTTTAAAAAGTTGATGTATAATCTCATTGACTTGACCAACTAAAAAGGTTTTTCCTCTACTTGAGGTTAAAACATTAACAATCCCCAAAACCTCAACTAAGTACTTATCAATAATGACTGACCTTTACGACCAAGATCAGTATGCATGCTATTGGATCCCAAGTCCCTTGCTAGTTTCCCGGATGAGCCAAAAGTCAAACCACTATGTTCACCACCAAACTTTCTACTTGATCTTCGCCTTATTGCAGTGAAGTCCATTTTGAAATTTTTAGGATCCTTTTTCAGGACAAAAAAAATATTTTTTGCTAAATCCTCCAAAGCACGTGCCTAGGAAATTAAACTTTTCGTATCACAACATGAGGAAAGTTATAATATTATAATCAGCACTTTCTAAAATACAAAATATAAGAGCTAACCTGTCTGAAATACACAGTAGATGATGAATTAAAATGCATAGCATTCCCAAATATCAAATATACATCATGCTGCAAAGAGCAATGACAAGTCAGATGACATTTAAATGTCTGCATTAAAAATGAGATAATTTGGGTAGATCACACACACACACGCAAGTGGCACACACAGGCACACCCACGTGCACGCACGCACAACGGCACAAGCATACGCACATGCATTCAATAAGACATTGTACTTATGGAGATATCAGACCTCAAACTGCTGAATATTCTTGTACATGCCTTCATGAAGTTTAGCTCTCATTGTGCCAAAATCCATTGGTTCTTTGATAATTTCATAGTACTCTTCGACCTGAAGATATTTTGGAAAATGACACTCTTAAGACATATGTAGAAAACAAGAATAATATTACTACATTATTATACTCCCTTCGTATCTATTATAAGTTGTGCATTGGCACATGTATCAGTCAAACTAATGCACTTATTAGATATAGTGGAGTATTAATCAATAACCAAAATTGATGGGTTCAAACATGACGATAGAAAGGGTAGCTAACCTCACTAGGATCCACCGGCTCTGCAAATATATCATATGTATCTTTCCTGAAATATGAGAGTTGTTTTTAAGGTTATGGAATTTGATTGGTACTTTGAACATTTTAGTTTTTTACAGCCCGATTTGCCTTTTGTTTCAAAAATGCAAGTAAAACTAAAAGTACACAAAGAGGATAAAAGATAAGACATCTAGCTTTATAGTGATACTACTATGTGCAAGTAATTGAGCTTACCTTTGCAATGTGTCAAGGACAAGCTCAAGGCTACTTTTATCTGGTAACCAAGACTCATCTGCATATTGGAAATACAATTTGCTCGTTAGTATAAGCTTTGAATCTTTTTAGCCCACTAGGGTTAGAAAGTGAAAGTTCTTTACTTTATCTTCCAATGTGTGACACATAATCCTTACATGCTAGCACTTAATGATCTTCCCCTTGAACAATACAGATAGATTCACACTCAGACCTGACAAAGCCAAGCTCTAAGGAGACACCAACATATGGGCCTTATCGGCACAAGCCCTAGCACAGATGACATCTATCAGAGGGTGCGAACAATCCAACCAAACCTAGCTCAGATACCAATTTATTATAACAATGGAGAGAAAAGAGAGAGAACCCACTCACTGTGCCCAAAGTGAGATTTTGTCCTAAATCCAATTGGCAATGTAAGAGTAGCCTACTTGGGTTATAAAGTGAAACATCTTTATCTTTCAACATGGGGCACATAAAACTCACACAATTGCACTTAATGATCTTCCCCCTCAAGTGTGAGACCATACACTAGCCAAGAATGAACACGTAGTAATATACACCCAAAGCCAAGCTTTGAGGAGACACCAACAAACGGGCCTTATTGGCTCAACACAAATGGTGCCAAACAGTTAATTAGAGGCTGGGGCAATTAGAATGAATCAATGTAATGATATGATCTATACTCTTATGCTGTGGCTTTCTTTAGACTATATAAAATAGTGTATCTATAGATCTGGATCAATTTATGAGAAGCATCGGAAGCAATAGCTTACTCTCGAGATTTGAAAATTCAAGGCCTATTTGGATTCATAGATCTTACAGACAATGTAACTACATGCAACATAAGTAAAGTGACAACCATATCTGTTTACTTAGCTTTGGGCAAGGGCATACATATTACTTTAGGTGGCAGGAGAGAAACATAGTCTTACCATGTTTTGAATGATCATCGCAATGATTTGGAGCTCTTTCACCCTGCTCATGGCTTATAGAAAATAAAAAATTGTAATCATTAAATAAGTTATATAAAGCGAATGCATAATATAAAATTCACGAACATAAAAGTGAGTAGAATCAAAGCATCAGTTTGGCTGGTTGTAATTCAATATGATTAATGTACAAGATTATGCAATGGCACAAAATAGAATTTGCGAAATATGTTAATAACTAAAAATGATAAAGAAAAAGAGTGGTTGATATCTAAAAGATAATAACTAATATTGTTGTATTATGTGTATATGTGTGATAGAGCTAGTAGTTACCTGTTGAGTGGACGTGGAATTTTTAGAGACTGTTTGAGTTCAAGCTTAGCACAAGAGCGTGAATATGAGTCAATTTTCTTGTCGTCGTCTTGATCACGATCAGAATCACATGATGGTGGTAAACGGAGATGATGCTTTGATGTTGTTTCCCTTGATGCTTTGATGTTGTTTCCCTTCTGTGATGAAGCAGAGATTGAGCCAAATAGTCTGGGGCTCCTCCTCCTTTCTCCATCCCCAAAGTTGATGACTCTCCTCTTTTGTCCACCTCTTCTGTATAAATTGGATTTGTGTAATGTCATGATATACCCCAACTATTATTGACTAGCAGATAAATCAACATGAATATGAAGTTGTGTTTTTTATCATCTCATCTAATTAATCTCAATTTTGGCTTAAATTTTAGGTTAAATCATTGAAATTGACCACATACTTGATACTTGCATTTCAAAAGGTAGCTGCTAATCACAATTATGAAATATGAGTATAATGTATAGATTAAAGAAGCAATTTGTGCTATAAGTTGATAATCACCTGGACATCTTATACAGCTGACGAAACTATGATTACAAACAACAAAGCAATAGAATTATACCAAGTAATTTATCATGTGAATGAAAAATAATATACTTGATTGATTTTGTATTTATAGCAAATGAAATCATAACAATCAAGAGATTAAACAAGATTTTCCTCAAAAAAGAAAATTAAAGATTATGCACCTTCACACTTGAATTTGAGGATTGAGAATTCAAATTAGGGGATTTTGATTTTAATTTGCTCACCAAAATTGGGAGATTCTTTTGAGGAAGTTCTGAATTGGTAAATTCATTAACCCTTGATATCTCTTCTCTCTCCTCACTACATATTTCTTGATATGGCTATGAATATCTTATGGAGTTGTGGTAATTGACTAATATAGTAATAGATGACAAGTTACTAAAGAGTAAATACAAGCTGATCCCCTCGATAAACAAAATGATGTTTATCAAATGGCATTCTTGTAATAAAATGACATTGGGAAGCGAAAAATAACATAAACAATTGGTAAAAGATGAGGTATGCAACTTTTTCTGAAAAAGCACGTGCAAAGTTCTTTGACGGAGCATCAAACGATTTTGCAAGCGGTTGTTAGGAGTTAACCCAAGTTGCTCAACTTGAGTTAAGGTACTGTCTCTTTTTCGATGCTTTCTTCAACTCCAGAGTACTTTTCTAGAGCTTTTTCATTTTTTGTTGCTCTAAATCTTGAATTCATCATATTCAACCCCAAAAATAGTACTACACTTCATTCCCTCTCCTACCAAATCGACCCAGCCCACCGACCCACCGTTGCTACCAGACTATCAAGTGCTCCTACCGTATTCATTAGAGGCGACCACGATAATGGCGTTTAACCACCACCGCACAACCACTAGAGGCGACCACAACAATGGCGATAAACCACCACCCTCTTTGTCATACCTTCCCCTAAAGGGTTAATATGACCCTACTTTACATATTTTGCTACTAGGGTGTCTTTTGTTTGGCCGGCCGGTATCGCAGCGAAGCAGCAATATATATTGGTGGTTGTTGTGGCCATGAGGGGATGAGAGGAGAAGAGCATCCCACCTCCTTCACTACGGCTGACGCGCCTTCGCTGGTTGTTTGGTTGCAAAAGTAACACCGTACCAACCAACCATAGTTAAGATTGAGACTTAACGACAATGAGAAAGCAAAATTCTGTAAACAAATGAATTGACATTCACACCCCTTACTTTTTACGCGAAAATACAACTATAGCCCTAGATAAACAACCCAAGTTTATCTAGCTAGGAGATCAACCTGGGCCACCTCATTACTAAATATACCATAATCATTAATTAACACCTTTCCCCTCCATTCCAAAGCACAACTATATCTATACGGAAATTACAGGTTGATCTTCATGATGAACGTAATTTGTCAATCAGAGGGCTGATAATGTCTTTTCATTCATTAAGTCAAGGATAATAATGTCATTGGACATGTGCTGACATGTTCATATTGCCAGCTATGCACTATTGTGTTAGTTGAGGTTTGATAACATTAACAACAAAGTTAGGGTCAAAGCCCCAAATCCCCACCCTCCTCCTCTCTCCTAGTAATTCAAACAAAGCTCCCTAGACTAGTAATTCAAGGGAAAATGGTCACCCTTACACTTTGGGGTTGATTAAGCCCTTAATTTTACCTTTTTCCTAAGGTTTTCGTTTGATTTGGCGGCAAAGCCGTTGGAAATAATGGTGTCAGTGGTCGGTTTATTAGATGAAGCTTGGGCATGATGAAGATGCTGGTGTGGTAGCTTCAATGGAGGAAGCAGCTTGAACATAATGACCACTACTATTGTTACCGTTATTAAACGGAGTTAGGATAGACTTACGTTCTTGGTGATTAAGCGGCCGACGAAGCACAAGTATGAGCCGGCTAGTATGAGTAAGCACTAGATTGACAAAATATGTTAGTTCTGAAGATCAATTGGGCAAGCCCCATATCTATCTATATTATTATTAAAACTTTTGCCACGTCATTTCTTTTCAACATTTAAACTCGCCACATAAGCAATTCATGTTAATGATGTTTCAATTATTAGTAAAAAAAATAAATAAAAATCTTCCAATTCAAAATTTGTAACGGACATAATTTGTAATGGTCTTAATTATTGGTCTTAATGAATAATTATATCATTATTGAATTGGAGTAATTTCTAAAGATTGTTAGCCTCTTGGAACAAGTTTTTTAGGTGAGAATTTTGATTTCTTATTTGCATACAACCTTATTTAGCCTTGACATGCAATAGGTGAATGTTTTAGTATTCATGTTTTTATACATTTATCAATGCAATTAAACTTTAGCCTATATTGGTTTTACACTTCTTTTACAAACATTTTACTATTTTAGTTTTACTGATTGTGTAATAATATGTATGAATGAGCTACGGAGTATATTTTCGTCTAGAACTCAATTAATTTTTGTTTTTAGGTGCACATAATATTCACTCGTGATATTTTATTAAAATTTGAGTCATGCATCTTCATTATTTAATTTTGTGCATTTTATCATATAAGGTAGTTACAGAGTAATACTACATATTTAGTAGCACGGATATGAAATAATAAAGATTTGATACAACCTATTTATATCAATGCAATTATATAATTATTATATATTCTTTCACTTAATAATTATAAAGATTGTTCGTTGATCACTAACCTTATAAATTTAGTTTTGAACAAACTTATAAAAATATACTGATCCGAGACATCGCCCCGAGCCAATAACTAGTTTGTGTAATAAAACAAACACAAGCATTAATCGCAAATGATCTCAATTTCAATCTGGATCTCTCATATTGAATAGTTTTTTGTCTAATACAGTAATATATACGGAGTAGTAAATTTAGTAGCATGTGAAATCAAACTTCATTATTCACACTTTAGGAGTGACTCAAATGGAACAACGATAGAAACAAAAAGTAAACAGAAGAGTATAACGATAAATGTACTCCATAATAGAATAGTTTCAGTACTAATGGATTGTTCTATTAGGCTTAACTTATACGCCCTCTGCGTTCGTGCGGATATATTTGATACTTTTCTTATTATGACATAAACTCTCATATAGATAAAGATAAGGAAAAATTGCCCGAAATAATCCGACCTTTTGCCCGTCGGCTGAAAATAATCCCGCCTTTGGATTATTTTTTAATAATCCCACCTTTATACCCATTCCGCTATAAATGGTCCCATTTTACTTGGAACCGGTTGAGCAGGTAATATATTTTTTTTAAAGTAGAATTTACACGTGTCGCTCCTTGATTAGTCAAAAAAATAAAAATAAAAAAGTAGTAAAAAAAACCACCACCGCCACCTAAGCCACCCCAATTCAGCCACCACCACCCAACCTAAACCCTAAAACCACTATCCCACCCACACCTGAAACCACCAAGCTGACCGGAATCCCACCGAGCCAAGCCAACCTAAACGCAATTACCCATTAACCCAACCCCTTAACCCCATTAACCATTTAACCCAACCCCTCCTCTGTGGACGACGACGACGATGCGGCTGGAAACGGTGGACGAGGGAGACGCGACGCGACCAGAATCTGGGGATGGGGGAAGTCGGCGCGTCAAAGCTGGGTTTAAGGGAGTTGGTGGGTTTTTCGCGGATGGAGCCTGGGTTTAAGGGTTGGGTTTTCACGGGGGTAAGAGTGAGGGAGAGGATTGGTGGTTCATGGGAGGGGAGGGTAAGCCGGAGCCGCGTGAATGGGGTTGGCCGGTTGGGGGTTGGCTTGGTTTCGTGAGGATTCGAGGGTGGTTCATGTGGAGGTTCGTGAGGGAGGGAGGGGTTCGAGGGTGGTTCAAGGAAGGGGGTTCGACTGTGGTTCAGGGGAGGGGTGGCAGGGGAGGCCGGCGCGCTGGATTGGTGGCAGGGGAGGTGGTTTGGCTAGTGGGTGGTTTCTAAATTAATTAATTGTTTTTTTATTTTTTAAAAAAAAATTTATTTTTTGGACTAATTAGGTGCCGACACGTGGCTAGTAACTTGCTATAACAAGTTAACTAACCGGTTGGGACCAATAAAAAAGATCGGGGGGTAAAGGTGGGATTATTAAAAAATAATCCAAAGGTGGGATTATTTTCAGTGGACGGGCAAAAGGTCGGATTATTGCGGGCAATTTTTCCTAAAGATAAATACTACAAGTATTTTATAACATCTCTTCACATAATCAAATATACTTCCTCCGTTCTTTTTTTATTGCACCATGAGGGATTTCACGTTTGCCAATGCATTTTTTTAGCTATTAATATCTTCAATTATACTTTTGTAAAAATTATAAAAAAATAATATTTGAAAAGAAGATTTCGAGACGAATCTAACTAGATCCCACATGACTATATTTTTCCAAATGGATAAATCACAAATGATGATCAAAGAAGATTAAGTGAATAGTGTAAAAATCCTAATGGTGCAATAAAATAAAAACGGAGGATGTAATAAGGTAATATATTAACCAATAACAACTTATCATATGAGGCTTTGTGTATGATGTAACAATTTAATTGATATAAATTGTGTATTAGTTAATTATATTTTTTAAAGAATCCCCAAAATCAAAAAGAAATTATTATGAACCCAAAATCTAAGTTATGAAGGTTGAATGGCGAAACCAGTTTATTATTTTAATAAACAAGAATTGATTATCTAGTGACATTTATGTAAATAACTCAACAACAACAACAACAAAAAACCAATCAGCATCATATTTTCGTAAATAATATGTGAAGCTGACATTTAATAAACAAAAAGTTAATGATATACTTCCTCTGTTTTTTTAGTTGACACTGTTTGACTTTTAAATTATTCACACTATAGTTTGACTTGCTTTTGTGGTTTGTAGATATGATAAAACGTAGTCACGTAAAATCTTGTTTGCATCGTCTCTAATATTTTATAAATATTCGATTTTTTTATATAATTTTACAATTGTTATAAAATTAAATAGAAGGAGGAGGAATTAGATAGAGAATAGATCAGTCTATCTTATTCCATAGAGAGGAGATATATATATACATACAATATAACTAGGGTTTGCTTAGATAACAATATACCCTAGTTCTAGAACATTCCGAAATGATAAAGAAGGATAATGGATATCCATACAATATTTCATAACACTCCCCCTTGGATGTCCATTATCGAAGATTGTGCCTCGTTAAAACCTTATTAGGAAAAACCCTGTGGGATAAAAACCTAATGAAGGAAAAAGAGTACAACATTTTTCGTAATACGCTCGAGATGCTGCCTCATTAAAAACCTTACCAGGAAAACCCGATGTGGGACAAAACCATGGTCAAGGGAAAAAGAGTGCAGCCGTATTTTCTCCCCCTGATGAATACATAACTTGAGATCTTCTAGTGTCGCAGCAATGAATCCAATATGTTGGATATCTTTAATAAGTTGGTAAAATATCACTTGTTGATCTTTGATCCTCCTAAATTGAAATTGCATCTTCAAGTCTTCACGCTAACATGTGAAGTGTCTTCATTTCACCATACATGTGTTTATCTCTAATATCAATATTTCAAATCTCTGTTTAATAGTTGATTCAAAGGATAAACTGATACGGTTATGACTTCTTCTGGAAGTCGTTGATAATAAATATTGATGATCATTATTATATCAAACATTCATTAATAAGAGTAATAATTTGATGACAAAACTTAGCTTGATATTATTAATATCATTCTTCTCATATGAATTATAATATAACACACGTAATTATATACGCTAATTATGGTTCTTCTAGACCATAAGAAATCATTGTCACGCATAAGTGATCCATTGATATTCTTTAGATGTTTCATAATTGATACGATAGCTCTCTTGCAAATACAAATAGTTAATTTCATTAACTCTCGTATGCTCAAACTTCAGGTTGAGATGTTAATAATGTTGTCACGTACATAGATTTTCAAGAGTTTGATAATAATTGCAAATTCAAGATATAAACTTTGTAGGGCTAGATATTACAATAGGTCGTATATAAGTTCTTCAGGAACTCTTCTTAATTCATAATGTGCAATTAAATTGGTGTAATCAATAATTTCATCACAATTATAAGCCCATTGGAATATTAATCTCTTTATAATTTTTCATCAAAGTTGTAAACATACCTTACTATACTTTGAATGAACATTTACATATATACACCACAGTTATTGTATGAAATTAATACATGCAATATGAGATATAGAAAATATGATAACATATTAACATATATACAATAAAGTAATGCATCTAACAACTTCCTATATATGCAATAAATATCCATTAACTTATGACTCACACATGCACATGAAAATAAATAAGACTTAAAATAAT